TGGAATAAAAATGCTTTTAGGAAAACTACGACACTGTAGTTATATTCATTTATAGAGAGAAAGCTGACTCGTTATCCAGATTAAGTTGCTATAAGATAATGTATTTATGCGGACACTGAGAGACTTGTCATTAGCTAGAATATGCTTGTGAGGGTGAGCAAATTTTGGAAAAGGATGTTGCCTATTGGCGCCTCAAGGCATTCGTATTTTGACTTTCGAGACAATTATCTAGTTTCCCTTGCAGAAACATATTAATATGCATTAGATGTCATGATTTCTTGCTGCTCAGAGTCCCTGAGTGGAGGAAAGAAATGTTTTTAGTGGTCACTCTGAAAGCAAATGAATTTCCGAAATCAAAGTTAGACTGCGTCAAAGTGACGTGATATTCGAATCATGATGTTGAGCTCTATGGATAGAGAGCTTTTAATTTACTTTTGGTGCAGCTCTCAAGATTTCTGGCTCCGATCATATGAATAATGGTGAACATTTATACGTAACATTTTCTACGTTTGTGCATAAGGTTTCTGCAGACAGATATCTCATATTAGACGAAACAGTCGCACTTTTTGCGAACTCGTAAATTGCGTCGCATCAGTCCTTATTTTAGCCCTGGATTGGCACACGAGAATCGCGACTAATTTGCGGTCCTTGCGAAGTTCTATTCTTGTCACTCTCAGCTCTGCCTTGTAGCCATAGCGAGCCCGATTGCTGCCAGGATCTGCTATTCCTAAATATGCTTGAAGAAAAAACTTTACTTTTTAACTGAATAGGCCTCGGTCAGATTGGGTCACACGATGAACTCAGGCGATACCTGTTGTCGATTTGTCACATAGCACCATTGGAAAGTGTTACACTTCGGAAAGTGCAATTTGTCTTCCTGCAAGATGCGAGAGGCCTGGCTCGTCAAACCCGGATGCAAGCATTTTATTGTAGTGACTCGGCTCCCCTTTCATACATCGGGTATGCTTCTTTTCGCGATGGTATGCACATTTAGTTTTCTTTCTCCTTCTCACCTGACCTTCAGACAATCGCACACACACCCCGAATACCAAGCCTAGGTCTTGACTCGTACCCTGACTGAAGTTTAATAGCTGGTCTTGGTTGGCTATATACCTTATTCTAGAGGCCAAATCACTAGGACTACAAGTAATGAAGCCTTATAAGTAGAGTTTTGCGACTATAGTTTGCCACATTGAATTTCACATCTATTTTTTTAACCCTCTGATTACGTGGCAATTTAGAGTATTGGTATCATATGAACATCAACTGGATTTCGATGAATCTATCGGGGTAACATTGTTTGGAGACTTTCATTTCGCCTGAAATTGCATGAGGACGAAATTCGAAGGTAAATTTTGCTAAGCTGATGAAGGACTGATAGTAGAATTTTCCCACAATGATATGAATTGAGCTGATGCTTCCATTGAATTTCACATTGCCTTGCTTCCCCAAAAGTTGTTCTCATCCCAGCGGTTCGACTCCCGTCGAGGCTGTTGATAAGACCGATGCGAGGTCGAAACTGCAGTCCACTGGTGCCTGGATGAGAACAACTTTTGGGAAAGCTAGGCTATGTGCAATTGAATGGAAACGTCAGCTCTACTCATAACATTGTAGGAAAATTCTTCTTCTACCAGTCCTTCATCACTTGAGACGAAATAGGGTGAATACATGTCATTACACTGATTTACTGGTAGTCTCGAAACCCTACTATCATACGATTCTAAGTAATGTAGTCGATTGCTATAGCAAACATACGTTTGCTTCATCGGCATTCCCACCAAAAAGAATATGATATAGCAAAGCGGCCTGACCTTTCTTGAAATTCACTTATGTCCTGTGACCCAAATGGCGCTCGTGGCAGTGTAGCCGAGTGGTTAGCGTGTCAAGCTACCGTCCTGCACTGTCATGGTTCGACTCCCGTCGAGGGTGTTGATAAGACCGATGCGAGGTCGAAACTGCAGTCCACTGGTGTCTGGATAAGAACAACTTTTGTGAAAGCTAGGGTATGTGAAATTGAATAGAAACGTCAGCTCTACTCATATCATTGTGGGAAAATTCTACTGCCAGTCCCTCATCACCTTAGACGAAAAATGGGTGAATACTCGCACATTACTGATTTACTGATAGTCTCGAAACTCTACTCTAATACGTAAATCTCACCAGAAGACGATTTATTCCAGCTGTAATGCGACGTCCTGGCTGACGCATTCCACACAAATCCGGCCCCTTTTCACCCGAAACTAAAGAGGATGTCCCCTGGATTGCGTCAACCTGGAGGTCGTAGTAAAGCAAAACGGCTGCAGTAGAACACGAATTCCCAATCGTCTTCACGTGAGATTGAACTATGAATCCCTTCATCATACACACTCTGATGTGAAATAGAACAGCATTGGTATCATCATGTTGGCCAGACGGAATTCTTCACTCAGTCCACTTGCAGCATTGTGGCCTTCATCATCAACCTATCCCAACCTAGGCTAGACACCACAACTATCATTCACTCTCTGGTTGTCGACCAATCACATTCTCGCCAGGCATATCTTGTAGCCAGTTGACTTGCGCACCCGCACACAAAGCTGTGCTACTCCGTTTACACCAATCGAAAGTCGACCTTCACAGTTTGCACGAGATTGTGTGAAGCGAACTCCAGGCTTGATCGATTTATTTGCTTCTACAACCTCTGTCTCTCGCGAGGTGTGTATTCCTGTCGACTCTTTCTCTCTCTCTCTCTCATGCTCAGCTCCATTTTTATGCACTCCTTCGACTCAGTCTTGCATCACTGGATTGCGCAGGTCCTCGGGACCCATCGTACATACACACAAACAGTCTACTCTTTTTCAATTTCACGCCACCAAGGCCATCCTTCGAAACTATACACGAGATTACCTCGTCTCAGGGCCGATATCTCAGTACTGTACACAAATGGGTCTGAATCCGTTCACCAGCCTTGATCGGTCATTGACTCCAAAAGCGCCAGTGTCACCTAAACTGGAGCACAGTCTCGACGTTGTAGCGTTGTTTTTTTGCGTCGGCTCCAGTCTGTCGAAAGGCCAGTTTATCGCTGCGCCCAGACCCAGTTCCGGTTCCCAGGGCAGGGAAGTGACTCATCCCAACGCGTCCCCACTACAACGATTGGTGGGGTTGCTTTACGTCTGCAGCCATCTCTAGTCCCTCTCACCGATCATACCTCTCCACTTTACCGAGCCTATCAGATCGCTGCCTCTTGCACCAATCAGCAACTGACATTCCAACCGGACTGCGGTCTATGTTGAAATAACGTCCGGTCATGCCACTTCTTCGATGCCTTGTCCTCCTCGTCACCGCCCACTCCAGCCATTCTGTGGCATCCTTTTCGATGCATGCTCGTGTGACACCTCATCGAATCGCCTACGAAGGCTACCCAAGCTTGAAATGAGATGTATTCACCCAATTTCGTGTAAGGTGATGAAGGACTGGTAGTAGAATTTTCCCACAATCATATGAGTTGAGCTGACGTTTTCCATTTTAATTTCACATAGCCTTGCTTTCCCAAAAGTTGTTCTCATTCAGGCACCAGTGGACTGCAGTTTCGACTTCGCATTGGTCTTATGAACACCCTCAGCGGGATTCGAACCGCGACAGTGCAGGACGGTAACTTGAAACGCCAACCACTCGGCTACACTGCCCCGAGTACCCTTGAGTCACAGGGCATAAGTGAGTTTCAAGGAAGGTCAGGCCTCTTTGTTATATCATTATCTTTTGGTGGGAGTGCCGATGAAGCAAACGTATGTTTGCTACTACAATCGACTACATTACTTATATTCATATAAGAGTAAGGTTTCGAGACTACCAGAAAATCAGTGTAATGACATGTATTCACCCTATTTCGTCTAAAGTTTCGAGCCTACTCTTATACGAATATAAGTAACGTTGTCGATTGCTATAGCAAACATACGTTTGCTTCATCGGCACTACCACCAAAGAATATGATATGACAAGATGTCTGGCCTCGTGGCAGTGTAGCCGAGTGGTTAGCGTGTCAGGTTCTCA